AGTGATTGTAGTGTGTGTTACACTGTCCTCATATTGTTTTAAGCTGTGAAGGACAGGAGTGTGTTTCAGTTGCCTTCCTCATGTGGTAGGACCAACAACTCTAGTGTGTGTTACACTGTCCTCATATCGTTGGGTAGCAGAACTGTACAGTGTTAAGTTTCTATAGAATCTGGTATAAGGAAGTCAGATCCTTCTGTAATAATATTCACTGATACAAATATGATCTGTAGTTAATTAAATAGTCGGGATTTATACTAGAGAATGTTTCTGACGTTATATTGTTGTCTTTTGTTGCAGACACCAAGTGCTGAGGTCCTGTCTCAACCTCCTTCAGACCAATTGGTGAGTGACACACCCACTTCATTCTTCCAACAGGTTACACATTATTTTTTTGTATTTGGCATCAAGTATATGTGTCAGTTGGGCTTAGTGCATAAATGAAATGCACTTTAATTGTACTAAAACAATCAGTTTTAGTCGAAGTTAACCAAAACCAACATTAGCATTAGGATAAAGTAATTGTCTATACCATTTGTTAGTCCAAACTTTCCCTTAAAGCATCAGCTTGATCTTTATTCTGACAAAATTTGATATTTTTGTCATTTTACACATGTTTTTGTCAAAATAAGCTCCCGCTGATCAGTTTACATGATTTAATTTCTGCATGTAGAGCAGGGGTGTCAAACTCAAATACACAGTGGGCCAAAATTCAAAACTAGAACAAAGTCGCGGGCTAACGTTAATATTTATTGAAATATATTTGTTCCTCCAGATATAAGAATGAATCTTTTCTTATGGACTCAAACACGTTTTGCTGAAAAACTGAATATGGAACAAGCAAAGCTTAATACTAAACAATATATATATTAGCTGTATAATACCAGTAGGCCAGCTCTGATAGTAATTTGGTATGGTTACATTTGGCCCGCGGGCCAGAGTTTGACACCTATGATGTAGAGCATGTAGTGGAACAATTATTTTCTCTTCCACTAGAGGGCAGTACCACTTAGAGAACCATATAATCTTCCACAGCACAGTGGTTGGGTAACACTGATTTAGAGAATAAAAGCTCAGAGTCACTGGGCTTCATAAAGAGGAAGCTGAACATGTGAAACTCTCCTTCAGAATAAAAGACACGTGCAGCAGGCTGGATGCTGAGCTTTATTGAAAGAACACAGAGGGGTCAAACACCTCACAGTCAGGCAGTCACATGATTCATGGCAGACAATGCTCTCACACACTTCACATGTGAGTGTCTTATCTGTCACATGATTAATGAGATGTTTGTGTAACTACTGAGGTTAATAGAAGAACTGAGAGGGGAGGCTGGAGTTTAGAGTTAGCTGAGATCAGGTGAAGAGCTTGGACTCCCTTTGCGCAGCAAGTAAAAACTGACTGAGTTCTGTGTGATCTTCCTTTGTACACAGGTGATTGGTCTCTGAGTTTAAGTGTTAGACCCAACACTAAGCGTTGTTAACAATACAATATTGTGAAATTGTGTTTGTTTGCCCTCCAGAGCAGCTGTAACAATTTGGGTCACAACGAAAGATGTTAGTCAGCCCACCGATGGCATCACCAAGAGAACGAAGGGAATTAACCAAAATGTTTTCAGGAATGGGAGGCCGATTGTTGGGCTGAAAGATTTTTTTAAACACAAATACAGAATAGTAGGTTTCAGCGATAAGTTCAAGGTCCTCAATGATGCTCGATGAATGGTAGCGGTTGGTGCATGTATCACATGCAGAGGCAAAAGAGTAGATGAGCAGGAAGTTGTCCTGGCTGTTTGGGAATGTGTTCAGGTTCTCAGTTTCCAGCCGCTCTCTCAGGGTTTGCAGAACACGACTTTCTGCATGTTGTCCACTTTGTCCGCCTTCAGGTGATGTTGGTCTGGCCACAATCACTCTCTGGCCTACATACACTCCACGATTGTTATTGTCTGAGGTTCTTTCCCCAATATTTCCCAGAACAGCCTGAAAGGGATCATCCTGAAAAACCTGGTTAAGAGTGTTTAGGTTCAGATCTACCGGGAGGACTGCAGCCAGACAGAACTGTCCATCTATGCTGTATCTGTTACAGGAAAAGGCACAGAACACACATCTCAGTATTCTGTGGTTTCATATCAGATTACTATAAAACAACAACACATACTTAGTGAGCAGAAGACCACAGAAATGTTGGCTGGGTGTGTAACATTAAAAACAGATCCCAGTTTAAATGAGTGTTTGTAGCACCATGAACTGCTGCTGCTCAGCATCCTGCAGATTAAAGCTCTGATAGAAACTCTTAATAAGTGTGTTTACTCACTGTCCTCTGATTTTTCTTACGATAGGAGTCAGATCCACCTGGGCCAGAGAGGCTCCAACTGACAGCAGGAAGACGAGCATCATGCAGGGCAGCACGTCCATCTGCAGTTTAATCAAAAAAGACACATTTTAGACACAATTAAATATGATTAGTATTATAGTCAGCAGTTAACCTTTAATTAAAACTTCATTTTAATATTCATTTAATTTTTCTCAAACGTTCTCACCTTCACTGCTTTGTTTATCTTGAAACTGCAACAGAAGAAAGAAACCAGTGAACTGCAGGAAACTGAACTGGGACTAAACTGTGAACCAAGTGCTTCACTTGCACCTTAACTGGCAAAATTAACTGGCATTTAATTAGTTAAATAAGTAATTAATATTTTTAATTGAACACTGAAAATTTGAATTGTTTAAGGGTATATGTAATTCATTTTTGTCACTCCTGGCTCTCCATAGAGTCTGGCATGTTTTCCACAGACTGACCTCTTCAGACTGCACAGACTGCACAACTCCGCCCTCTAGTGTGACATCCAGGCCTGGTCTGCCCTAATTATTATTGCATAAGAATGCTGAAGGACAATTTTTTTAGTCCAAAGCCAGGAGAAACCTATCTCAGACTGCAAACGGTTTAGGGAGCGCTGCAATAAATGCACTGTTGTAATAACAAATACAAAGGCTGCATATTTTATCTCAGAAACTTTAAAAAATGCAAGCCTCTTAAAATATTGGAAAACAAGTTTCTAGATGGAAAAGATACCGATTCAGAGCCCCCACATACATAACAGATACAGTAAGAAACAACAAGGCTAAAATACTCTTTTAAAAAATTAGTTTCTGCGACGCTCTGAGATCACGCACTGCTGCCTACAGTGAAGGGCTCGTCTCCAGTAATATGGACCAATACAAGGCTGCATTTTCAACGTGCGCAGCGCGGTCAGACAGGCAAAGTAGAGCTACAGGGAAAACCTAGAGTCACAGCTTTAACAGTGCGACTCTAGGAGCCTGTGGGAGCGACTGTGGACAATAACGGACTATAAACAACCAGCTTCTCCAATGGTGAACTGGCTGATGAGCTGAACGCGTTTTATGCTCGCTTCGACGCTGCAGCAATTAAAACAACAAACGGCTGCGAGCGCACGGAGTGCACCGGTGAAGACACGGCCCAAGCAGTGGTTCTCACGTGCTTCAAACAGTCCATCATTGTCCCTGTCCCAAAGAAACAACAGCCCGCTTGCCACAATGACTACCGTCCAGTAGCACTGACTTCATCTGTGATGAAGTGTTTTGAAAGACTGATGAGAGATCACATCACTTCTTCACTTCCTGCCACCATCGACTCACTTCAGTTTGCTTACCGGACTAATCGTTCCACAGACGATGCCATATCTCACCTGCTCCACACATCCCTGAGTCACCTGGACACTGGCAGAGGGAATTATGTTAGGATGCTGTTCGTGGACTACAGTTCAGCATTCAACACAATAATTCCCTCTAAGCTTTTCACCAAGTTGACAGATCTAGGACTCAGCTCATCACTGTGTCAGTGGATCCTCAACTTCCTCACAGACAGACCCCAATCAGTGAGGGTGGGAAAACAAGTCTCCCCCTCCATCTCACTCAGCACTGGAGTGCCTCAGGGCTGTGTTTTAAGCCCCCTGCTGTACTCACTGTGCACTCATGACTGTGTAGCTACATAGAACTACAGTCTGGTGCCAGGAGAACAACCTCCTCCTAAACATCAACAAGACTAAGGAGCTGATCGTGGACTTCACTACAAAGCTGGCGAGGAATTATGAGGCCCTGATCATCAGTGGCACACCAGTGGAGAGAGTGGACAGTTTCCTGGGTGTCTACATCACTCAGGACCTGTCATGAGCAGGCCCGCCAGCATCTCTTCTTCCTCAGAAGACTCAGAGACTTCCATCTGCCACTGAAGGTGCTTAACTTTTACTCCTGCACCATCGAGAGTGTCCTGATGGGAAACATCTGCACCTGGTTTGGGAACAGCACCAAGCAGGACAGATAAGATCTGCAAAGAGCGGTGCAGATCAGAGCTCCCTGACCTGTTGTCCATCTACACCAAGCGGTGCAAGACCAAAGCCAGGAAGATTATGATGGACCTCTCCCATCCCAACAATGGACTCTTCTCACTGTTGAGGTCTGGGAAGCGCTTCCACTCCTTTAAGACCAAAACAGAGAGAATGAGGAGGAGCTTCTTCCCCCAGGCTATTCGGGCCCTGAACCAGGTGTAGGACTGGACTCCCACACACATCACATCACCACATGCACTCTGTTTTTTTTGCACACTTCTTATAATTTATAATTTCTTTTTATTCATAATTTCTTACGTAAATTTCTAAGTTAAATCTGTAAATTTTTGTTGTAATGTGTAAACCTGTTAATCTTTCTGTTAATTCTTACTGTCATTTAATTGTTGGGCATTGCTCAGTGTAAATGACCACAGCAGACCCGGTGACATTAACATGCTTTGCAGCATTCTTTATTAGCACACACACAGTTTCTGTTCGCAGTGCACACAGAGCTGCAGCTCTGATTTGATTAAAATTGAATTTAAAATTTGATGCTGTTGAAGTGAAGCAGAGGTTATATTAGAGAACTACACTGTAAAACCTAATATTGTGCTTAATTAAAAATATGAAGACGACTGAACTCAGTTTTTATCAACTTCTTATTAACACCTAGCTTAAGTTACCAGTACTGTTGGAGCTATTTGTTCTTTATTTTTATTATTTTGAAATTTGTAAAAGTTTGTTGTTAGTTTACTTATATTTTGGGGTTTATTTACAAGTTTTATTTGTATTTTAATATTTGTTTCAATGTTCGGTTTGTTTGGTGTTTACCTTGCTAAGTCAGTCAGTAAGAGCTGTAGGGCCATTTTTTCTATAAATAAAGAGACTGGTATAGGACCAGCATGCACTGCGGGAGGGGGGGGGGGGGGGGGGGGGGGGGCTATGGGTTTTGTTTTTTTTACCAGAGCAGGAGAAGCAGCAGGAAGTAACACAAAATTGATCTTGTTATTGCCAAACTGGATGAATAAACCATAAAGACGCAACTTTCAAGTTCGGACAGTGGACTTCTTTCGCCTGCGTACGAAATATGATCTCAGTGCAGCAGGGGCTTGTTGACTTTTAATTGTGGGATGTTTGGTTTGTCAAACAAAAGGAATTGCCACTACAAGTACTATTAATTCAAAAAGCTAATCAACTCAGTTTATTTGATTTGTCTTAAATTAGAAAAACTTAGTAAGCTGGAAATGTCGCTTTTCTGTGGTTAAAAATTGTTGAAATTGTCATTTTATTTTGTTTTTATCTCATAATCAAATCATTTTGCAAATAAACAGACAAAAGGCAGTCTCCCTTCAGCGGAAGAAAAAAACTATATCGTCACTGCGTTCCTTCTCCCTCACACGGATCAGTTCACGTGTTCATGGCCCAAACAGGTCTATCTGGATGTTGAGCAAAGCTGGAGAAATTTCAGCTCAGATTGTTGGTATTGCTGTGATTGTTATGTGGTACACATACCAGCTTCTGTGTTTGAATGCTAAACAAATGTGTTATTTAAACTCGAGACTGCACTTGTGACTGAACAATGAATACATTTTGTTTTGATTATATAAGTAATGTAACTGCAATAAAAATGTGTGGGACGCCCAAATTTAGTTTTAGAACAATACAATCTGAGATTTTAAGATGATGGCAATATAATTGTTTGTTGTTCAGTAGAACAGTGTCCAGTATGGGTCTAATGTGTCAGCTGGAAAAGTTGGGGAACCCTTGGTTAACCCACACCCTGCAAGTTTGGCAGAAAGTAATCGACATTTGCGGGATACACAAAATGTTAAGAATTTTCAGGTGGTTTGTTTTCGACTCAGATTTTATTCCAAACAGACACGACTCTAACTTTAAATCGTGGATATCTTATGGCCTTACGACATTCCTCTCTCTTACTCATAGAAACATTGTGCTCAGCTTTGAGACCTTGTAAGAAAAACACAACCTGACACAATAGGACTTTCACAGATACCTACAGCTGAGATCATATATTGATCATGAGTGCAAATTGTCTGACTTTACAGATGCTGAGTCGCATTTTTTTCCATATCCTGAAAAATGCAACAAACATGACCCGTACTAAATCCATCTCTATACAAAGCTCTCTCTAGTGCCAGCGAGACAACACTTCATACACCAAAGACAAATGGCAAAGGGAATCAGGGATTGCTATCTCTGTGGAGAAGTGGGAAAGTGTTTGGTCCTGCCAGTGGTCCACATCCAGTTCTATGAGCTGGAGGGAACATGGCTGGAAGAATATTATTAGATACTTCAAGACACCATATCAGGAGAGATATAAAGGTTCACATTTTTGTCTCTGCGTTTGTGAGTCCTGCATTTTGGGTCCTCTCTCATTATATGTGCCTGCCTGCACACAGCCATGACAGGAACTTGAAATATTTGTCTGTGGGTGAACAATTAGTATTGCACAGTCAGAAATATCAAGTTATTCTTAGTACTGCATACTTGCAATGAATAAGTTGTCCTAACAGTCAACTTAAGTAAGCTTTACTCAGTTTTTTTGAGTTGTGGGAATTAATGAGATCTTACAGTGTAGCTAACAGTTTTGCAATGTGGCATAATTCATAAAGGTTGAAATTTCTTCTGTATTAAACAGCAGAAATGAGGCTTTCTTGTCAGAGGTCATTTTTGGGAAAAGGGGAAGAAAGTGGCTGACAACACAAAAACGAGACTGTTTGTAATAGTCAGAGGGGATTAATGACAATGTTTATCAAACCTGAAACGTAGTATGGATCTTCTTTTGCTGCTGGTTAAGTCAGTTTTGGCTGGAGAGTAGTAACACCTGTGTACCTGCTCTCATTTGTGGTTTTACCTGTTTGGTGGTTGTTGAAATCGTTCTGTGAGCTTTAAGATGAGATTCTGTAAAAATACATTAATATTTAAAAATTGATTCAGCATTTAATCAATCGATATCACGTTATTTAAATTAGGGTAAATGGCCTGTATTTGTATAGTGCTTTACTTAGTCCCTATGGACCCCAAAGCGCTTTATACTACATTCAGTCATTCACCCAATTGATATAAGTTGGTGAAAAAAACCCTACCTTACCACACCACAAGAAGGGTTCAAAACCTGTGCACAGGGGAACAGGGAGATCAGGTAATCTACAACGACAAGCAAGATCTCAACACTCAAGCATGAAGACGCAATAACCAGTTTTTCACTAACAGTTTGCAGTTCAACAATCCAGCATAGACAGAAAGCTGCACCACAATCTTAAATAAGTCTCATAAGTCAGGTGATCAGGAACAGGCGGGACCTCACCAGGTGTGCGCAATCAAGGTTGGGTCATGCGATGAGTCCACCCAAGGCCCCGAGGCAAAACACAAAAACACAGAGGGAAAATCAAAACCAAAACTCCTGACTGAAGCTTAGTCTGTGAACACGAAATGTAATCCGATTACAATCAGACTGTCTGCAGAAGCTTTGAAACGTCACGGTCTCTGTTTAAGAATCTAAAAGTCATCTGAGCTCATCTTCACTCAGATATTCTCCAGCGGTGACTATGAAAAATGATCGATCAGTGATTAGAGTGTAACACAGTAAACGTTTGCAATGTAGGAAACTGACAGCGTCACTGTCCACAGAGTCACTGAAATGAAGACTACAGATGATGATAGATCTGTGATGTCATCACTGTCTCTGTCCTGATACATTGATTACTGATTGACTGTCAGAGCTTCGTGCTAAACACAAAAATAACAAATTAACATAAATGTGAGATTATAAAAACTCTGAGGTCAGTTTCACTTTTCATCGTATTCCATGAAAATCAGAGGAAACTGTGGACATCTCAGCAGGGTGGATAAATAAATCGTAAATACAGTGGTGAAGTAAATAAAATAGTGAGATAAGAATGTGATAAAACAGGGAAGAAATCAAAAATAGAATAAATAAACAAAAAGTGGTGAACTGGTTGATCAAATGCAAATAAAACTACAAATGGTAAGATAGGTGCAATATTAGAATAAATTCAAATTTGTAACTCCTGGAGAAATTTCAGCGGGATTGTTGCTAATTGTGGACTTGGACTATGAGACGCTGTAGATGAAGAGCTTGTTTGTGTAGAATGAAAACAGGTTTTTTCACTCGATATGGAAAGTGTAAACGTGCCCATGTTTTTTCTTTCATTCATTTTTATTTATACAGCGCCAAATCACAACAACAATTGTGTCAAAGCGCTTCTGTCACGATCTGGTTGTAGGGACTCAGGCGCAGAGCGGTTAGACGTCTCCAACAACAGTTTATTTACAGCACCAGTGCACAGTTTATACAGTGAAGGGTAGGGATGGGTATTGATAAGATTTTCACGATTCCGATTCCATTTTCGATTCTTTATCGATTCTTTTTATTTTAAAAGGTCGATTAGCTTAGAACTTTGTTTTATATCTTCTCTTTGAACAAGATAGAAATTTAGGAGTAACATGGCCTTACAAACCCAACAGTGAGATCTTAAGAGATCCTTAAGAGATCCAGCCTATGGCTCTTCAATGGGGTGTCACAGGGTCCCCAGGAAAAAAAATTGTAAATGTAAAATAATAAAATAAATATTCTTCAGTAGCAATTACACAAGAATATCCAGTAATGTCCCTGCCTACAATTAAACACATTCACTTACCGAAAATCGGGGCATCTGCTGTGGCAAATGGGTGCAAGCCTTTAACCACAAACTTAGTCACTGCTCGGTGACATTCGTCTATCCTGGCCTGAAAGGAGATGCTACCGGTAGACT